AGCGAGGCCTCAGAAGTCTCCCTGCAGGTCTGCCAAGAGGAGAAACGGGAAGTTTTACAGAAAAAGAGTGGTTCCTCAGGGCCGGGGGCTGCCCCCCGAGCCGGCTGCGCCCCTGCCCGTCCTCACCGCTCCTCCGGAGCCGCTCTCCCCTCCGCGCACGCTCCATCTCCTCCACAAACTGCTCGAAGATCCGCACATAGGGTGCCAGGCTCGTCTTCTTGTAGTCTAGAGGATTTGGGAAGCTGAGCAGGAGCCGGCGGTGGGGACCCCCCGTGCCCAGCCTGGCCACACTCACCCCGCGCCCGGCGTTTGGGCTCCGTCTCCGCGCCGTCCTCCTGCTCCCCATCATCACCAGCCGTGTCCAGCTCGTGGCACAGGGAGCTGTGGGAGGTGGTAGGTTGTGGTGGGGGCTGGTGGCACTGCTGGGGACCCCCATGCCACCAGGCCTCCTCACATACCTGATGGTGGGGACAGCAAATGGGTCGAACTGGTCCAGCCTCTGCAGATCCAGGGGCACTGAAATGCGACCTGAGAGAGGAATGTCACCACCGGGGGTGCCTGGCCTGAGGGTCCCTGAGGGTGTCACCCCCAGACCCACCTGTTTTTGGGTGGACGCTGAAGGGGCTTTTCAGCAGGTGCCCGAGCCCTTTGCTGACGTTGATGTCAAGGCGGGGGAAGCAGAACTGCAGCATGATCTCCCAGTCAGCGTAGCACGGCGCGCTCTTCCCAGCCCCTGGCGGCCGCTGTGGGCAGGGGTGGGTCAGCGGGCTGCAGGGTGGGCAGCAGTGCCCAGCCCCCCGCCTGTGGCAGCTCCATGGCCACTCACCCGTGTCCGCTCCATCCGGCCCTTCAGAAGCTCCCAGCGCTGCACCGAATCCCTCTTCCTGGGGAACTCACCCTGCAGCGGCTCCCGGTGCTGTGATGGGCGGTCAAGGCCGATCACGGGCACTGCCAACCCCACTCTTCCCCATAGCCCCCCCTGCTCCAGATCCAGCACAGGCATGAAGCTGCTTTGGGAAGGATATCCTCTGGGACAAGAGCTAGCACCTTCTCCCAGCTCTCCGGGCTGCCTAGGATGTCCTGGCCCACCAGTGCATACGCCTCAAAGTACTTCTCCACCACAGCAACCGAGCGCCTGCAGAGAGCAGGGGGGGCTCAGCACCCCTGGCTGGCAGCAGTGGGGCTGGGCAGAGGGGTCCCACCCACCTGATGAAGGGGTGGATGGGCTCGGAGATGTTCACTTTCTTCACAGTCTCTGCTCCGCCCTGGGGACACAGCGGGGGTCAGGCTGGGGGGGCAGGCAGGGGACCCAGCCCCCCTTGCACCCACCTTCACCAGGGTCAGGTACTCGACGGCCGCCGCCCGCAGCGCCGGGGACCAGCGGCGCACGGCATCGTCACACACCCAGCAGTGGACGCCCCTGCGGCCCGAGTACACCCACAGGCGATGCCTCACGCCCAGGTCCTCTGCGGGGGAACAGCAGTGTGTTGGGACCCACAGCACACCCTCCGCTGCCCCCAGCCCTGCTCTGGGGCCTGGCTGTTGCTGCAGAGCCTGGTGACCCCTGCGCACGAGGTCCCAGAGACCCTCACCCACAAGCGCACGGTCGATGACACGGACAGCAATGGTCATCAGGGTCCAGCACTTGGAGCAGATCTCAGCTGAGCTGGGGCAGAGCATGGTGGGTCAGGCTCCTGCCCGTGCCCCCGCCCCCCCCAGCCAGCCCCCCCCCTC